GAACATCTGGAGGCCCAAGATTGGGGACCACTGTCCTAGTATACCACATCAATGAGATGTCACTTACAAAATTAGTTAAATAATAAATAAAATATTTTTTAAAAAATTGCTGTTTCATTTGTAAAGATGTGACTAACAACCCTCCCTTGCCAGACTTCTCCATTATGAGGTTAATTCTATATGAACCCCTTTTATTTGTGCTTTTTTGGGTCCAGTCAGCATTATTTCACTTCCAAAAAGAAAAGAAAAAGGTAATAAGGGCAGGAAGAGGTGAGGGAGAGAGTGGTGTTAAAGACAGAGAAGAGAGGGGACAGTGATCCCAGTGAGAACTGCAGAGATCTGAAAGGCTGTGAGGTTTCTCGGCTCAGGTTACATGTGTGTGAATACAGAATGACTCGTGTAAATGCCGGAACAGACGGATTGCAATCCTTTTGAAACTGATCCAACCTGCAGTGGCTTGCCTATCCAGTCATCCAGTCACCTACTCAGATCAGTTTTAAAGTAAAGACTTGAGGGAGAGCCATCCAGCTCTCATGTGCTTTTGGCAGGTATTGTTTAGGTCTTTCACTTAAAGTACAGACATTGTGGGAAGATCCTGCAACTGTGATACCACCACTTGCCCTCCACACATTCACGGTGCTATGGGTTATGGGTATGTTCATGTGCCATGAATTAATGGATAGATAGCTCAGTGGCTTAGCTAGCTGGGCACAGAGCCAAAGATCAGGAATTCGATTCCCCATTATCACATCCTAGACAGCCTGTGTGGCTTTGGGCAAGCTGCACAGTTCCAGGATGCTCCCGGAAGAAGGGAATGGTAAACCACCTGTGAGTATTCTTTATCTGGAAAATCATGAAAAGGGTCACCATAAATCAGGACTGACTTGACAGCACATGATTATTATGTCTACTTTGGTTTTCCCCACTTTCTCTCTTTGATCCCCCTTGTCTTAAATCTCTTTCATTTCAGATGTAAGCATTGTAAACATTGTCGATCAGCCAAGACACTGATGATTTAAACACCAGTTTGCATGAGAAATCTATATGCCTTTTTGTGTGGCTTTCTCTTAAAACATAGATTTTAATAGGTAGTTTTGCCTAATATAAATATTTTTGCAAATAAATTTCATAAGAAGATGCATTTTACATTATTTTCACTAATATACTTGTTATTTGTGGTCTTTCCATAATAAATGTGTTCTGCGCGCATTTCAAAAAGTGCAACTCCATTGCCAAATTCAGAGAACTGCAGATTTCAAATAATAACTGTTTTATGCATTTATCTGAAAGTACTGTACTAGCTTGTTCATTTATTTATTTTATTTGCATCCCACATTTCTCCCAATACAGGGATCCAAGGCATTTTTCAAAAACAAATGTGAGGGGAGAGATATATAAGTTGTAATAGTGTAATTCAATTAAACATGTAAAAAAAACCATTAGAACACTAATGTAAAACAGTTTAAATCAGTTTAAAACACATTAAAAAGAGTTTTAAAACTGCAGCCTTAAAAACCTACTTAAAATTAGGTAAAATTAAATTGCAACTAGGGAAGTTCACATTAATTTGTGAAACAAATACCAGTGGTGCCTCGCGCAATGGTCGCTCCGTAGAGCGACGAATCCGCACAACAATGCCGTTTTTGCGGTCGCAAATGCGATCGCAAAACAGCACCTAGATAGGGGGAAATCACAGAGCGAAGGTCGGTAAGCGGCTCGCTTACCGACCTTTGCTTTGCGACCCGCCCATCAGCTGTTCCGCAGCAACAAAATGGCCACCGCGCACCCCAAAATGGCCGCACGCAGCATTTTCGCGCCCTCGTTCAGCGAGGGGAGGGCGCGAAAATAGCTGCTGGCCATCCAGGAACATCGCACAATGGTGAGTATTCGGCCGAATTGGAACGCATTAAACACTGTTTAATGCGTTCCAATGGCTTTTTACTTTCCGTTGAGCGATGTTTCACACAGTGAGGGTTAATCCGGAACGGATTAACCTCGCTGTGCGAGGCACCACTTAAATGGCAAGAGCCTTGTTAAACGAGGTTGTCTGATCCCATTGCTTATCAACATGCTGCTACCACCTGCATTAAGATGAGTTACATCTGATTTACGTATTTTTGTGCTGATGCCTGGATAAGAGTGATTGAGCCTATAAAGAAGTTCAGCTCAGTTCAGATTATAGAAGAATATGAAAGTCTTTTGAAATCCACTCTGGCTAAAAACAGTTCTCTTTGAAGCTGCAATATGTTTCAACCTTTTCTTTTTTTAAAAATGGGCATGGACATAATAAAAAACATATTATGAATTAATAAGGCATCTCTTTATGTAGCAACCAGTCCTTCAAAGCTCTGTGACGCAAAACTGTGTTGACATTAACCTTTATTTCTTTGGCATAAGGAGTGTATAAGATATAAGAGGATTTTAATGAACAAAATTTAATGTTTAAAAAGGAAACAGCCATTAGCAGATAAGGCTTCTCATTCTTCAGTATTGAGTGGTATCTGGTGGGACGTTAGTGAAAAAACAGCCTCTGAAGGTAAAGTCAGACAATATTTTTTCATTGTGCTGAAAGGATGCGACTGAGGGTGCAACTACACAGTGGAAAAAATACAAGGAGATCCATGCCAGGAAGTTGCCTTTCCCCTGGCTTTACTTCACTTCATCCAGCCACACAGGAGTCAGCAGAGAGTGTGCAGGAAATCAGCTTTGTTTGCAACAGCTAACCATTTGAATCCTCTTCTCCCCACAACTGGTGCCTGGGGTTACTTGTTTCCCTCTTTCCCTCCTGTTCCATTTCTTTTCTTTTAAAGGCTTGTTGTCCTAGCATTAGGACAGGAAGTTTTCCATTCAGCCTTGTTTCCAGTTTGTTAAGGTAGCTCTGCTCTGACTGTTCAGATTTGTAGGTGGCATGATTAGAGCAAAGCTACCTTAAAACTTCCTCCTCTCTCTGCTGACTCTTTGCATGTTTTTCTCCCCCAACCCCCTTTGATAACCTAGCTGCCTTTGTGCTAGATTAGCAAACTTTTAAAAGAAAGGGGGAAAGGGGGAAGAGAAGATGAAAGTAGACTCAGGCACCCAGTACAAGGAGGGGAGGATTCAAACAGCAGCCAGTTTCCTTCTGCCCTGCCTCTCTCACTGTTGCTGAAGCCAGCTTTAAACAAAATGGCTACAAACCCCCAGACATGTTGACAAGCCTTTGGGTCTGAATCCCAAGTCTGAGTCTTTGGTTCCAAGTCCTGAGTCCCAAGCCTCAAGTCCGAGTCTCAAGTCACTTTTACAACAATAAGGAATTGAGTACCGTTCTGGATTACAACTGCCAGAAACCCTCAGCCAGCACAGGGGATAGTGGACCTTACTGCCCAGCCCCTCGCTCACTGCTTTCAGTGACATCAGCCTTTGGGTCTGAATCCCAAGTCTGAGTCTTTGGTTCCAAGTCCTGAGTCCCAAGCCTCAAGTCCGAGTCTCAAGTCACTTTTACAACAATAAGGAATTGAGTACCGTTCTGGATTACAACTGCCAGAAACCCTCAGCCAGCACAGGGGATAGTGGACCTTACTGCCCAGCCCCTCGCTCACTGCTTTCAGTGACATCAGTGTCTTCCTCCTCCTCCTCCTCCTCCTCCTCTTTTGGAGCAGCCAGCAAAATGGCGGTGGCCTGGCAGTAGCACCTGGCAGAAAGCTGATGCATTCTGGGAAGTTGCCAGGTTGCCATATAGGAAGTAAGTTAAACGCCTCAGCACCCCAGATAGCTGGGAGCAGCCTAGTGAACTGAGCAGGGTTGGCAGTGCCAAGGCAGCAGGGGTGCTCCAGGCTGCCTCGAGAGCTGTATTCAGGGTCCAGGGGTGAATGGGTGTCTCCTCATTGCAGCCATGGCTCGGGAGGCATCAGACTCTCATGTTGATGGTCCTCCTGTTCCCCCACCCAACCCGCGACTCAGAAAAATGGGTCCAAGTCTTGTTTTTAAAAAACAACCCAAGTTGAGTCTGAGTCGAGCACAGATGCAACGTAAGTCAGATTCAGCAGCGAGTTGTGACTTTTGAGTCTCCATTCTTGCAATCCCCTTCATGTTGGCAGAAGCCCCAGCAGGGGAGGAAAAGCTACAGATTCCAGGGGGAAACTGGGGTCTGATTCACATCATGAAGTCAGTGGAAAATAATGTGACTCAGACCATTCAAATCTTGGAGCATTTCCTGCATTATGAAGGATGCAAACATCGTCACGTTGTATAAGAACAAAGGAGACAGGGCAACTGCAATAACTACCGTGGGCATCTCTCTTCTCAGTGTTGTAGGGAAGCTGCTTGCCCGTGTTGTGCTGAAGGTGATTGCAGACAGAATCTATCCAGTATCAGAGTGTGGATTTCAAGCTAATAGACCCACCACTATGGTATTCTCCCTCAGATAGCTGCAGGAGAAATGCAGGGAATGACAACCACTCTTTGTGGCCTTCATAGATCTTACAAAGGCCTTTGATTTGGTTAGCAGAGATGGCCTTTTAAAAACACTTTAATATTGCCTTTTAGTGAAGTAAGATTCCTCTTTATTTATTTATTTATTTATTTATTTATTTATTTATTTATTTATTTATTTATTTATTTATTTAACTTGTATGCCGCCCACACTACCTTATTAGCTTTAAATATTGTCTTTTAATGATGTTAACCGCCATTGTATACTCATTGTTTTCAACTTTAAATATTGTCTTTCACTGTTTTAAGCCACCTTGGGTCCTTTTCAAGGACAAAGGTGAGGTAAACAAACAAACAAACAAAACATAATAAGCAACAGAAAGTTGTTTAGAGCAAAAGGGTGTGCACAGCGTGAGAAACAAGTCTTGTGTCTTCATTTTTCCGCAATAATCATTTTATTATCAAACCTACCAGTGACATTGTTTTGAAAGGATAGCAGTGCTGTGACTCTGAGTGGAAAAAGAGCAAAAGATTTTCATACGTAGGATTTAGTATATGTTGATTATATACCGTACATTATTTACTCTTTTCAGATCCCTAGCTGGTATTAAAAGACCAGAAATGAAAATTCACCTAGAATCGAATGTAAACTATTTCGTCTACGTACGAGCAGTTAATATCTTCGGAACAAGTGAGCAGAGTGAGGCTGCTCTCATCTCAACTAAAGGTAAATAATTTTTTTTAACCAGTGGAGTCTATGGGGAACACAAGTAATGTGCACACATTAGGTATATTTTCTATAGAATCTATTACTGGACTCAGTTTCCAGAAGCTATTGCAATAAATGTCCATGCATTTAATGTCCAAGGTATGTATGTATGTATGTATGTATGTATGTATGTATGTATGTATGTATGTATGTATGTATGTATGTATGTATGTATGTATGTATGTATGTATGCATGCATGCATGCATGCATGT